ACTTCTCTTTAGGAAAAAATAAAATTCATTTTTTTTGCTCCTGAAAGGAAATGGGTATGGAGTATGGTGTTGTGACACTGAAGCCTGATGGAGGAGGCCTAAGCACTGAAAGTCCTTCAATGGTGGTGTGGCTAAAGGACATCTCAAGAAAAGAATGCATATTGCTTACTGTAAAGTTGCTTGTTTTCCTGAACTATGATCCTGTCCTATTTCACAGCCCCCACATTTCAGGTGGTATCACTAACCTCATCAATGGCTTATATGAGATATTTTTTTCAATTTTTATTTTTAGAAAGAGAGAGAGCACATGAGTGAGGGAGAGGGGCAGAAGGAAGAGAGAGAGAGAATATATATATACATACACATATGTGTGTGTGTGTGTGTATTCCCCCCCACCCCCCCACAGAGAGTAGGGAAGGTACAGGAGAGAAGGAAAGAGAGAATCCTAAGCAGGCACCACAGTATCAGCATGGAGCCGTATGTGGGGCTCCATGCCATGACTCTGGGTTCGTGACCTAAGCTGAAATCAAGAGTCAGATGCTTAGTGGACTGAGCCACCCAGGTGCCCAAGATTTTTATGTGTTTATAATTTTTAATGGAAATCTGCTGAGGCAGTCCATAGACTGAATGACATCTTCAGAACCAGTGGAAGGAGCCCCAGAAGTGAACAAGAATTTATATTTATTTAAATCTATATTTTGGTATTTATAGAATCCCAAGAAGGGTTTCAGATTTTAATTAGGAGATCCCAAGTTAACAAGTGATCAAAAAATGAGGAATGGATGGAAGGCAAAGCGACCAGAACTCTTGGTTGAGTGGGGGAGGTTAAAGATCAACTGAAGGCATCTCATACCCATCATCTGATCATTCCTACACTAATTCTGACCATAAGTACTTATAGAAGATTCTCATTTATGATAGAGGTGTTCTCTAAAGTTGCCACAAACACTGAATTAATGAATACTGAACTAAGGGAAAACAGAGTTGATCAATGTTATGACTGATCAATACATAACCTTCTTTTAGGTGTGTTTCCATTTAGAGACACCTTATTTAACATAGACTTGACACATTAACATTGAATTCATGGCCACCAGCTCCCTAACGAACTCCTGAAAGAAGTTTCTCTCACACATAGACTTTTTGTGTGAAGCACATCAAGCTTTCCTGTGCTTAGGAACACTAGACAGAACTGTATTACTTTGCTTGGGGGCTATTTTAAACAGCGGAATGACCAACAGAAAGCACAGCAATGTGAGAAACACGTGACACTAAAACAGACCACAGAAAGAACACTTGTTTATAGGACAGAACCTGAAACAAGAAGGCAGAGGGTCATCTTGTTCAACTTCAGCTAGGAATGTGGCCATCGGATGACTTTTTTTTTTTTTTCTGCTCTGTACATGTCTGTGAGTGACCTCAACAGCACAGCAAGTATTGATTTTGGGGTTACAAATAACTTTTGGTGAGTACTCAAATTAACAAGTACAGAGTCCCTAAATAATGAAGATTGCCTGCATTTTTATTTTGACAGGTGTCAATATGTGCTTAGGACTTGGCAGCCACAGGAAAATCTTCAGTTCTGTTTCTCATATTCCAAATGAACAGAAAAAAATAGAACATGATCTTTAATTATGTACTCCTATTTAAAACCCGGTTAGAGAAAATAGGATGAGTTCAGCAACTCCGCTTCTTTTAGAGGTTTTGCTTTCATACAACGTGTGCACTTCCTCCAGAAAATTAATGAAATAAATTCCTAAAAATTTAAAACCCAAAAGTTTACAGACTTAGTTCTTTCTGAGTAAAAACTGTAGAAAAATTTGAAGGTAATTTGATACATTAAAATTAGTTTTATTCTATATTTCCAAAGTCCCAATGGCTTTTTAAATTTGAACACTTAGAAACATTTATGAAGCCACAGCCATTACTAACAGAATGTATAAAAATTTGCAATTATTAAAGATTCCTCTCTGACATCCTCAATGTCAAAGTAAGTCAAACAGGTATTTAACTCCACAATTCAAACCACATTGACTAAATCAAAAATATAACATTCACATAAAAAAAAAAACAAAAAACAAAAACAACTTACTGAGCCTCCTGGGTGGCTCAGTCCGTTAAGACTCCAACTCTTAATTTAGGCTCAGGTCACGAGTTCGAGCCTAGCATAAGGCTCTGCGCTAAGAGCTTACAGCATGGAGGAGACTTGCTTGGGATTCTCTGTCTCTGTCTCTGTCTCTGTCTCTGTCTCTCTCTCTTTGACCCTTCTCTGTGCACGTGCACTCTCTCACTCAAAAATAAATAAACATTAAAAAAAACATTTTAAAGACATGAGTGATAAAAAATATAGTATTGGGTATCTGACTTCAGAGAAAGAATCATATTAAAAAAAAATTTTTTTTTTCCAACGTTTATTTATTTTTGGGACAGAGAGAGACAGAGCATGAACGGGGGAGGGGCAGAGAGAGAGGGAGACACAGAATCGGAAACAGGCTCCAGGCTCTGAGCCATCAGCCCAGAGCCTGACGCGGGGCTCGAACTCACGGACCGCGAGATCGTGACCTGGCTGAAGTCGGACGCTTAACTGACTGTGCCACCCAGGCGCCCCAAGAATCATATTTTTAAAACTTTGGCAACCAGGGTCTATCAACCATTCTGGTACTTCTTTCTCTCCTTCCCGTTTATTACTCTTGGGCAGCCAAGATTCATCCAATATGAAAATTATTTACAGCAACAGGAAATAGTCTTACTTTATTAAAACTATTTATATGTTGTGTTTATGAGGGTGAGCTGTAAGGAAGGATATAATAAAGCCTCTGTTTAAATGGTGTCATCCTAAGAGTAAGACAAGTAAATAGGGTTAGAAATGAAACTCCTAGGTCCTGCTACATGTACCACTATCAGAATGTGGCAGTTAGTCAAAAAAATTTTAATCTGAATAAAGCTTTAAAAAGCTCAGACTTATAGGTACCTAATTAGTGATCAGAATTTCTCTATCAGATGTGTGCAGGGGGAAAACTTGATGGTATGGTAGTCAGTAGATGATTTGTGTCTTTCCCTAAAGGGGTACTAGCTCACCTTTTGTAGGTTCATGCCTTCATTCTTTCGTCTAATGGAGCCATAATATCTCCCTTGGTTTTCCTGTTCTGCAAGGAAAGGATAACTTTAATTTTGTAGTGCCAGGGTTTGGTAAATACTCTGTGCCCAGATAATAGATTTATATTAAATGGATCATTTGAAGCTTGATTTTACAAATGCGGTCCCACCAGCACCATGTTTAACCTGAATAAACTAAATGTGGCACCTAATATTTTTGTCTGCACATGGTAAGAAATGTAAGCAGTAAGTGTTTGTTGATATTGCCTGAACTAAAATGGACACAATATATAGATTTAAAAAAACCCAAACCTTGTCTTTTTATTTATTTACCACTATTTGGATTACTAGATACCAGAGTAGGTGACCAATGAACGGCATTAGCCATATGAAGAGGTTAGATACTAATTGCTTTAGGATTTTTCCGCCTGTTGGGAGACAGGATCCCACAGTAATATGGAGGTATGATCCCATTTTACAGATGGAGGTTAATATATATAAATATATATATATTTATACATATATATTTATATATATTTATATATTTATATGTATTTATATATTTATATATATATATTTGGAGACACTAGGTGACATATCTATGAGAAATGAGCTTAGTCAGAAATAGAAATTGATATAAAATATACACAGCAACAATGATTAACTCCTTTACCTTATTATTTGCCTAACTCCTTTGTTTCTAGTTCAGGAAGTGAGGTTTTGTTTATTTTTAAGGATTCCGGTTGGAACCTATCAAAACTAACTGGACCAAGGGCTCTAGGGTCTGTTAACAAATAGTAAAAATACATGCTCTGACTTGGTTAGAAATTGCTTAAAACATTAATCACACTCATATCATTTAACTAAGTTGTCTACCTCCCTGTTTTATTTCAATCTCCATTCAGTCGTCAATGAACAGAAAGCATCCTGTGGTACAGTTTCTTTTCTACTTGTCTGACTTCTCTTAATGCTTTGTTTTGTCTTTGAAAGATAAATGCAGAAATTTGCAATGATTTAAAGGAATAGAGAAACTTTCAGCCAGATTCTATACTTTCCTGTGTGACCTAGAAAGAAGGCAAGCCCATTAATGCAGGATTTGATTTTCTAGGAGAAGCACTGGACTTATCAAAGCAGATGTCTGTAAGCAGTCCATTTACTCATATAATAGGTAACTCTCCTCCCTCTGGACCCTCACACACAAATGGCAAGAATAGTTTAACTTTCTTACTTACAGTCAGATATGATCTATATTTCCTGATCATGCTCAGCATGGACTCATGGTTTCATCTGTCTACAGAGATGAAGATCATAGAAAGGGACGGACCCAACATACTATATTGAGTATTTAACATGTGACAGGTCGTATATTAGAACATTCTAAGCACATTATCATATCTTATCCTCCCAACAACCTATAGAAGTAAATACTATTCACATTTTATGGTGAGAGCTTGAAACATAAACAAGTTAATGATATGGTTAGTAAGTGGAGATGGTTGCTAAATTTGGGCACAAAACAAAATTAGAAGCTTGGTGTAAAGAGGGCCCAGGAAGAAAGCAAAGGATACACATAACACCTGTGAGGAATAAAATCTGCTTCGAGTACTTTTGGGGAGTTCAGGCACTCCTTTTGCTATTCAGATGAGTACTCAGATGAGTAGCACAGTTATCTATGTCCTTGTTCTTTTTACTAAATTCATCCCCCTCTCACAACAGGGGAAGTTTTTGTTCATTTAGAGTGCATGTTTTTAAAGCTATTGACCTAGAGTTGTCATCACACTCTTCCTACTTCAAATAGTCTGAGTATTAAGATAAATATATTCTCCATCACTTTACTGCTAACCAAACAGACCCTTCAAGCATAGGGGAAGAACTAACTCATGAAAAATAATATATAATACTTGCCTCCTCTCTAAAATATACATGGATTGGAATATCACCACTCTGGAATAGAAGTAGACCATATAAGAAGGCAGGCATCTAGAAACATATATAAAAAAAAGTAAAGAAGTACATTAAACACAATGGATAAGTAGAAAAAAGGCATAATAAGGCAGCTGGGTTCGGGAGAGGGAGAACAGTGGAAAATCCCCCTTAGACATTTTTTTCAACACATGCTAGAAGAAAAGAAACTCAGCAGAAAGGGCTTCTCTAAATGTGGAGCTATTTCTCCATCCCAAGGCTGGTCTTCCTATTTCATGTTTCTCAGTGGTCAAGTTTCATGCTCTAATTCCTTAGCACTTCTAGGTTGTGTGGTCTAGCCTGCAGTGACTGTTTAGCAAGCCAGCCTCTGCAGATTCAGTGTGGTGTTTCATGCAGAAGTGGAGAGGGTGACAGCAATAAGGGGCATGACTGGGCCACAGGGCCCTGCAGGCACGAAGATTCACCCAGAGCTCCAGCTAGCTTGAAGAACTTATCCATGGCACCAGTATAAGGCAGCTGCAGAGTGGTCCAGCCAGTGACTGTTATCTTTGGAAAGAATGAGATAATCAGACATTCTGAGAAGGCACAAAGGTTTGTGTCCAATAAGCAGGGCTGTCATAGTCTCCCTGAGGGTCATCTCCTTTCTAGCCAGCCAGAAGAGAGAACATAGAGGTGTGTATCTGGGACCTTTTCATGGGATAAAACCTCCGAGGCAGACATCACTTCTGTTCACATTTTATTGATTACAAATCAGCCACATGGCCACATTTAATTGTAAGGGAAGCTAGGAAATGTAGTTCAGTTGTGCACCTAGAAAGAAGAGGGAAACATGGGTTTTGAGGGGCATCAACTGTATATTTTAAAAAGTGTAGCCTAGTGAAATTGAGTGCCTTGCCAAAAGTCACACAACTTAGAATCCAAGTTCTCCCTACAATGATATGCTTCTTACTTTTTGCCTCCAAAGCTATCTGCAAGTCTGTGGATATGAGCATCCATACTGTGTTCCAGACAGAAAGGTGGACACTTTGGTTTTGAGAGAAAAGCACAGCATTTAGAAGATACATTTAATAGGCCTAACCATATCTCACCTCTTTTGATATTTTAAAAGAAAATCTGAAATTATGGGGAAATATTTAATTTCATGACATTAAAATTAAAGTTTAGCAAAAATTGGTTGTTTTAACTAATAAAAAAATTTCTTGTTTGACATTTCTGTGAATCATTGAACCAAAAGAATCAAATCATGGCCCCTCTGTGAGACTAAAATGTAGGTAGATCATTTTTTTCCAATCTTTGAAGAACAACAAGGCATTCTGGTTTAGTAAATGTTAGACTAAGCCAAAATATGGGGCCACAAACAAATGTTATAAACAAAATATTTCAAGTACCATGTAACATAAAGTAAATAGGATAGTAAAGTAAATAGTTCAGAACATTGGCTAAATCTCAAAGTTGAGGCCATTGGATGATAAGTACTTCATGATCTGAATCGATGGACTAGATATATCTTTGCAACACACAATATGCGATCATATAGATCTGTGAACATCACTCAACTCTAGTCTATATTAAAAAGGGCTAGGGGAGAAGTTGGGTGGTTCAGTTGGTTAAGTATCTGACTCTTGATTTTGGCTCAGGTCCTGATCTCATGGTTCATGAGTTTGGTCTGTGAGATTAAGCCCTGTGGCAGGCTCTGCACTATCAGTGGGATTCTCTTCTCTCCCTCTCTCTCTGCCCCTCCCCCACTCTCATGGGTGTGAGTTCTCTTCCTTCTCTCTCTCTCTTATCTCTCTCTCAAAATAAATAGAAGTAAACTTAAAAAAAAGGGCTAGAAATGTATCAGCTGAGTTCTTCAAAGAGAATTTTTAGGAGTGGGGGGTACTGTGGCATTTTTTTCCCTCTCACTCATGGGAAGGAAAAGGATAGGAGAGGGTAGTTCATTCCCACTTCCTCAAGGCAATTGGGGGGAGGCGGACACAAAAGAACCATCCATTAAATCAAAGCTGTTTGCAACATGAGGAGACTTGTGCTCACCTCCTGTTCAGAAAATACTGAAGGCAGGAGTCAGGCTGGTGTGTTTCCTCGGCTGGTGAGGCAAGGATTGAGGGGCCAGCAGTTAGCTGTGCTCCGTAATTTGGTGAGAGTCAAACATCCAAGAGCCTTCCTAAAGGGCAAATGGGCACATGAAGAAGAGAGCCAGGCTTAAGTTTTCTCAGGACCCAGTCCAATGGGACTGAATGTTGGGGCAAGAGAAACACAGCAGAGGGTCCTGAGTCAGGGGAGTGTACTGGGCTATGGGAACTCCCCAGTGTACCTCATAGAGGTCATTGTTATCAGATCTTTATCCCTACCTCTTGGAAAACGTCCTTGGATTTCACATTCTGTTCTGCTAAGCTCTCATTTCCGGCAGCTCTCATCCATCTCTCTCTTTCCAGTTGCCTCTCTGCCTTGCTTCCACTGTCTGTGGAGCTGAAAGTAAAGGTAAAAATGTAAGAAGTCTTCCAGGTAATTCTGGTGCTATTTAATTGCAAAAAGCAGGTGATCTTCACACAGGCTTTCTAATTTTCTTTTACCAAGTTGATTAACCTTTTAGTGTGTTCTTGATTTTCCCCTTTTAGGATTCAGTTTTGCTAAGCATTTGCAGTGGGTTCAATTATTTTTGGTAAGTCACTACATGAGTCTTTCCTGCTTAATTTTAAGTGAGAGAAAACCAAATTGTAATTTAGGGAGTACTTTTGGCTTCTGGTGTGTTATAATCTATTGTGGGGAAAAGGGTTTCAAATCTAGAAGGACATTGTATATCCTCTGTGTTGTCACGCTTTCTCCTCGCTAGACCACATCCTTCAGATTGGGGGGGAGGGTATTGGTGAGATTTTGAAAAATATATTTGGGACTTTTTTCTTCTCAGTGTTGCTTGGGGGAATAGGAGAAGGACATACATCATTCCCAAGGGCCTTCACTTTTTAAATATAATAGGGGACAATCATAAAGATTGACATTTTATTTTTTTATTATTATTTTTTTTAATTTTTTTTTCAATGTTTATTTATTTTTGGGACAGAGAGAGACAGAGCATGAACGGGGGAGGGGCAGAGAGAGAGGGAGACACAGAATCGGAAACAGGCTCCAGGCTCTGAGCCATCAGCCCAGAGCCCGACGCGGGGCTCGAACTCCCGGACCGCGAGATCGTGACCTGGCTGAAGTCGGACGCTTAACCGACTGTGCCACCCAGGCGCCCCAAGATTGACATTTTAATTAATTAATTACTTTTTATTTTTTTATTAAAAAATTTTTTTAATGTTTATTTATTTCTGAGACAGAGAGAGACAGAGCATGAGTGGGGGAGGGGCAGAGAGAGAGAGGGAGACCCAGAATCTGAAGCAGGCTCCAGACTCTGAGATGTCAGCACAGAGCCCGACGCGGGGCTCGAACTCAGGGACCATGAGATCATGACCTGAGCCGAAGTTGGACGCTTAACCGACTGAGCCACCCAGGCGCCCCAAGATTGACATTTTTAGATTTACAACAGCACTTGTAAACAATTGTTCCACATTTAATGATTGGGAAAAAGGCAAACTAAATCCAATAAAAATTCAATCATTTTCTTGTCTTTTTAAGAGTAGTAGATGTAAATAGAACAATTTAAGTCTAAAATTATTTAACTTGATGAATTAATAACATAGTGAAGACTATGTGCAGATTTAAAATGTTCTTTTCAGAAAATACAATTTAAACAATTACAACATTAAAATAAAGAATATTCTTGTGGCACCTGAGTGGCTCAGTCGGTTAAGTATCCGATTTTGGCTCAGGTCATGATCTCACAATTTGTGAGTTCGAGCCCTGCGTCAGGCTCTGTGCTGACAGCTCAGAGCCTGGAGCCTGCTTCAGATTCTCTGTCTCCCTCTGTCTGTCTTTCCACCACTTGCACTCTGTCTCTTGCATTGTCTCAAAAATAAATAAACATTAAAAAAAATTAAAAAAAAAGAATATTCTTGTTGAATTCTGGTGAATATAGCAGCTGAAAAACAAAACTAAACACCTTTCTTTCTTTTTGAAATGTTCTCTTTGGTAAAGAAAATCAGATATTTAAGATTTTCTCCCTCTTTAGTTCTTTTAATAATGTATCATGAAAGAATATGGAAATCGTATTGTACAGAGATTCTCTGTATACCTTGAAAATAAAAGAGAGATTTACATAAGTTTTTAGGAAGAATGCTAGGAAGATGTCTGAGAAGAACGAACAGGTTTTATCTGATTGTTAAACTCTCTATACTGTAATAGGCCACAGGATAGAGCCATTGAATTTTACAACTTTTGGAGGCACCAGTGACATCATGGTCCATATCAATGTCATCCCATGGAGTTGCATGGTATTGTGTGGTATGCAGTCTAAGCCACATGGCTGTAGGTGGAGGCCCTGCCTCTTTTTTATGTTACCTTTAGAATAATAACAACAATAATAAAAACTTCTTCTAATGTCTAGTAAATTTTAGCTTATTCCCACTGAAGTATACTGAAGTCAAGTTAGGTAGGAAATCTCAAAAGACTGCATCTCAGATACAGCAGGAAGAGCTGTCCAGAGGGCTGGTTGGCTTGGAAAAATAACTGGGGGAAGCAAATGAGATGTGTGTGCCTGGCAGAAGAAGAAACAATACTGCCTGCGCCAACACAATGACAGCTGGCATTCCATGGGCTTTTGCTATGGATGAGAGTGCTCAAAATTGGGCAACTTCAATATTTTCAATTATGGGTGGCAGCTTTAATGGTCAGCTGCTGGTCATTCTTGACCAGACCCTCAACAGGTATACATTGTTCACTATTATGTTTTAGATGCACTCTTTCCCCTCTCCCCTCTCTCTCCACAGTCCTGACAGTTCATTTTGAAATATGGACAAGAATACATTAAGTTACCTACAGTTGGCCAGATTGTTTTTTCCTATTCAGCTTTCATGTTGGTACGAGGATGAGGGAAGAAAAGTTTAAACAGACTTGCTTTGATGTTATGAAATGGTGGTGGTGTAAATTCAAAATGTAAAGTATCAACCTTAGATAAATAACTTAAGATTTAATATAATGTTTTCCATTTGCAAAATGTCCAAGACAAGCAGAATTTGGTTTATAAAAATTTTATTTGTCTTATTTTTCTTCTGTGGCTCAGATTCAGTCTCCCTGCTTATGGTTTAGTTTTTAATAGTTTTTGCTACTGGAGTCTCTTCAGCAATGTCAATCCTCATGGTGTCTCTCTCCTCATACAGTGTTCTCTCAAAGATCTCTGAGGAAGGTGAGTTGGGAATATAGGAATAATCTTCCGCTTCATGGGTTCATATTATTGCCAGTCTTAGCTATATTTCTTCATAGGAAGTTTGTATCCTAGAAAAGCCTGTTTATTTTGCTTGATGATATATGCAAGATGGGGTTTTGGTTGTGATAGATTTAAACAATATAAACAAGTATGTCTTTTGAGCTACTTTCCCAGGGGAGATGATGCATTTTTTTTTTTTTAAACAGATTACATTTATTCTCAGTTGCATTTCTCTGTTACCAGTAGAATGTGTGTGTTAGATAGCTGGGTCCATGAGAGTCTACTAGAATTCTTGGCATTATTCTCAGTGTCACTGCTTTTGATAGATGACCTTGATTCTCTTTGGTTTTACTACTTTCAGGATTTTGGATTTCATCTGACTGCCAGTGTAGCTCAATGGTTCCTCCACTTAGAACTTAAGAACTCTGTAATACTTGGCTATTTGGATTCTTAGTGGAAATATCTATCACAGTCTGTCTCATGGTTATAGAATGTTCTGTGTCATTTTTTTCCTGTTCTTAGTCCCAATCCTAGCCTGTGCCTAGATCTCTCTTACGGAGTATAAGATTTCCTATAAAGGGAAGTAACTGTACCCTCCTTAATTGGGACTTCCCTGCTGCTTGACATAAATGTTATAATGATGCAGACCACACCCCCTGCCCCCACTCCTCATCCCCCTACTTCTTTTTTGTGTTTTCTAGATAGGGAATGATATACAATATCCTATAAGAGATGACCAAAAAATCATTAGAAGTGGTCATTTAGAAAACAAATCAGCAGGAACAGCTGGGCAACAGGGACTCAAAATGTAGGAGAAACATTTTAGTCCACAAGAAAATGAAATAATGGTAACTATAGATAATTTGGAATATTTTCTTTTTCTTTGATGTTTTTGCTAAGAGAAGTTCAAAATAATTTACAGGCATATATTAATAAGTAGTTCTCTACGCACCCCCATTTTTCAATGCTTAAATCAAGGCAGATGGCTAATGATTGATTTATTCAAAGCACTCAGCATGTCAGTGGTTGAATTTTGTTGAGATCCCTTTCACTGTAGACCACACCGCTTCTAATGACCTATGTATAATTCATCTCAGCTCCATCCGAATTAGGAGCTGACAGTTTTTGGTAACACAAATCATAGCTTCTTGTCAGTAAAAGAACCCCAGTGTGGGAAACTCAGACAGCTAGGGAGCTCAGTATGCTGCTAACTTTGTTGTTTTTGTACAGATTTGAGAGAATCTAATAGTTTGCCACCTTTATGTTGGCACATGCATACATATGTTTATTGATGAAGTTGACTTTTCTTCAACCCAGGTATTTCCTGGGCAAGCAGAAATGGAGATCATTCTGAGGATTTTCTACCAGGTGGTTCAACATAAATTAACAATAAAAATACATTAAACATGCTTTTGGTTCAATAATTTTTCAGTAATGATCTTAGAATGATAATTAGTAGCCTCAAAAACAGAATCACATGGTTTTATTTCATGTTTTCAACATATATTTGGAATTTTCAAAAAGCTTTTCCTTCTGCAGCTGTATGACCCTCTTCTCTTTTAGTTTCTCCCTGTTGTGAGTGTGAATACTTGTGATCAAAGGCCCAAATTTGCTTCCTTAGTGTTCAGAAGTCCTTGATTTCAAGACCATTTGTCCATGCACATATAAGGGGAAGAGAGCAAGATCCAGAAAAGACCAAGTGATCCTGGAAGATGTATTTGAATTTTGATTCTAAATGTTAACCAGAGATTTTCCCTTATCTTTCTACGGCATATGAAATAAATTTACTTATTACATCTTGACATGGATAAAATAGAAATACTCTCTTTGAAGGCTTTGGCTGATTTGTTAACATTTTTTTTAATAGAATAATTTTTTATTTAATAGCATGAGAAATAGCCTTGGTTAAATTCCATTTAAGTTTAGGAGTCTTTATAGATACTGTCTAATTAATTATAGTTGTTTTACTTATTACAAAACTAGAAGTAAATGAAACTAACACAGTGCAGGTTTATTCATATGCAGTTTCTTTTAAGAAGACATTGGTTTTATCTAGCCAGAATTGTTAATGAACGGGAGTTTAAAAGTATAACTGTCACAACAACAACAACAAAAAAAAAAAAAAAAAAAGTGTAACTGTGTTTTCTGGCAAAGAATCAAGTCA